ATATGGTACAAGATTATCCTATTTAAATCAATGTGATAAACGAGTCAGAGCAAAAGTAATCTAAAAGTAGTCCGATTACATTACCAAAAATGTGTAATGGATTACATTACTACCAACACATTTTTATCACGTAATCTGTAATCAGTAACTAATCTACCCAGCTCTGCTTCATACACAATTATCAGGTGTTATGTTGTCTAATCGTACAGTAATACTCTCAGATTGTGTATAAGATCATCAAATGAGCAGCGAACTGATGATCCGTGATTTTATTCCCATATGAATTGAATCGATTTCTTAAAGGAGTTGAAGTACGGATTGAAAATTCTAAGGGAAGAGTGTTTGTCATGAAAGTTATGTCACAATACATAATATGTTTTTTGAGATTCCCCCAGCCTTAAATGCATGGTTCTTGTGTTGCTCCCAGATCTTGGCCAGTCTGTTCTATCTGTACTTCATCTTGGTGCGATTGTGCATCCCTGTGTTCACAAACAAGAGCAACCAGCCCTTCAGTACACGGACATTCATCCTGGCGCTCTTCCACGCCGCGTTTCCAGGTACCACACACACTTACACTCATAATATACACACTTACTAATGTCTTGCATTGAACAGCCAACATGAAATAGTTTCTGCACTTCCTGTGAACGCATCAGTACAAACTATTCATAAACTTTCATCAATAAGCAATAACTCCCCTCTGAAATGACTTTGAATTTCTCCGGCCGTCTGTGTGATTTGAGACCGTTTACTGTCATGTTCAGGGATGCTCATGTTAATGCTGGGTTTCTACGCATTTCTGCACTGCTGGCTCAATGCTTTTGCGGAGATGCTGCGTTTCGCTGACCGCATGTTTTACAGAGTAAGTGGAAATCTCATTAGTTTAAAGGAATAATAGTTCAGGCAAAAATGAAAATGAGCTGCAAATGTGCTCGCCCTCAGGCCGGACGAGATGTAGATGAGTTTGTTTCTTCATCAGGTTTGGAGAAATGTAGCATTGCATCACTCGCTCACCAATGGATGTGAATGGGTGCCGTCAGAATGAGAGTCCAAACAGCTGATAAAAACATCACAATAATCCACAGCACTCCAGTCCACCAGTTAACATCTTGAGAAGACAAAAGCTGAAACACATCCAGCATTAAGACGCTTTTATCCATAATAACTCTTCCTCCAGTGAGTCAGTGTTCTGGTGTGAATCAGGAGAGAAATCTGCACAGATCAAGCAGCGTTTAAACAGCTCTAAACACATATGTGGCTGGATTTTGATGTGAGAGACAACAGCAGATGCACTTTTTCACGTTATTATGGATTATGGACTCGTATAGAAACATCTTAATGCTGGATGTGTTTCAGTTATTGTCTTCTCCAGATGTTAACTGATGGACTGGAGTGCTGTGGATTATTGTGATGTTTTTATCAGCTGTTTGGACTCTCATTCTGACGGCACCCATTCACAGCAGAGCATCCATTGCTGAGACACTGATGCAGTGCTACATTTCTACAAACCTGATGAAGACACAAACTCAACTACATCTCGGATGGCCTGAGTTTTTTTTGCCTGAAATATTCCTATGGTTTGTGCACTGATATATAAAACAAGCAGAAACATTTTAACAATATATAATATTCTGTACAGTAAATTTATGTCACATTGTTTTAAAAGGACTGGTGGAACTCGACGTCCTTCGCTAATTACTATCGCACTTGGAACATCGTCGTACACGACTGGCTTTATTACTACAGCTACAGAGACTTCCTCTGGGTGAGGACTGCTGCTCCTGATCCTCATGTTTGAAATGTATATCATGTTTGAATAATTCTGACATGAAAACCTCTCAATCCCTCAGCTGACGGGTCATAAGCTCCGATCGGTCGCCACGCTGTCTGTTTTTGCTGTTTCTGCATTAGTTCATGAATACGCCTTCACCTTAGGCTTCGGATTCTTCTACCCGGTGATGTTCTGCACGTTCGCGGGCATCGGTGGTAAGAAAACGAGAGATCCTAGTGTGAAACATACAAAATATAATTATGAACATTGCATTAACAGTGAATGAGATTCAAAAAGAATTAAAACAAGTCATGCACAGTTTGATTTATAGAGCCAAGTGAACTTTGTTCCAGCTAGTGAACTCCATCTCCGTCTACAGTTTTTAGTAAAGTTTGTAACGAAAATAATGTTATAAACGTGCATTTGATCAACTTTTGTTAATGCATTAACTAACAAATAAAAATAATAATGCAAATGTAATAACATTTGAATGATATTTACTTTAATAAATGTATTATTATTATTATTTAATTAAATTATTATAATTAGAAGTGTTTTTTCATTAGTAGTTCTTGTTAGTGTAGTTAACTAATATTTACAAATTAAACCTTAAAGTCTTACCAACTATTTTAATTAATTAATTNATAAATAAATAGGGCCAAAATCTTAAAGCAGTAAGGCTTGTATTTATTTATTTTTAATAAATAATTGAATAACATAAATTATAGATTTATTATTTTTTATTATATTTTATTTATGTATTGCTGAACTCATTGCAATGCATTCTAGGATTTCCTTTCTTTCTTAATAAATAAATAGGGCCAAAATCTTAAAGCAGTAAGGGATGTATTTATTTATAATAAATAATTTAACATAAATTATAGATTTATTATTTTTTATTGTATTTTAGTTTAGTTATTTTTTTGTTGAACTCATTGCAGTGCATTCGTATGGAAGCCCGTTTCCGCCACTAAATAAAAAAATATAATTCT